TAATGAGCAAAAGTTTCCTGCAGGGATACCATTCAGAGTTTCATGGGGAACAGCCTTTGCCATGTCAATTTCTCTCTCTCCTCTTTTACTTTAGAGTGACCTACACAATGACATACAATTGGTTACCCGCCTATTTGGACAGGAATCTAGCTCTTTGGAAACAAGTATGTCCTTTAAAGAACAGTGCCGCTGGGATGAACTTGTACCTTCCCAAGGGAGCTCTTTTAAGTAGGAGATCACCTATAAAAACAACAACTACATATAGAGACAAACATAACCAGCTGTCTGGGGGTCACTGTGACAGTGCCATGACAGATACCCTGACAAAGAGCAAGGCAGGGGAAGAGAGGGCTTCCTTAGCTTACAGTTCCATGTTAGATGCCATTATTTGGAGGAAATTCGGGTGGAAATTCAAGCAGCTACTACACCATACCCACAGTCAAGAGCAGAGAGGGAACACAGGTCCTCCATTGTTCTTGCTTGCTTGTGGGTCTGCTACATAAATTAGCAGCCAGGACACTCTCCCATAGATTTGCCCATAGGCCAACCTGTTTAGACAATTCCTGAAAAGTCTATCTCCTCAGGTGTCGACTTTCAGAACTAACCTACATGTCTGCCATCTAGAATTGTTAATACGAACATCTTGTTAGAAATTATGAAATCATTTTGAAAGTAATTATTCACTGCTGAAAAGTACACAAAAGCTAAAACCATGAAGAGATACTGATTGTTCAATTAGAGGTAGGAAGTCCCTCCCCTAGTATCCTGCATGGATCTGATACTCAGAAAGCTGTCCCATGTACTTTTTCAACATACCAACCAGTTTTATAATAACAAATTACATGTATTATTCATTCATTTTCTCTGTATATTTCACCACAATGAATAACTCTAGAGAACAGACTCAACGTTGAATTTGGCTGTGCTGACTGCCTTGGCTTTCTGGCTCTTATTTCCCAAAACTTCAAGCTCAACCACAACAGGGTTCAGAGATTTGATTATCAAATCAGTATTTTCATTTTTAAAGACATTTTTGGAAATTGAACAGATTCCAGCTCTTGCAACACATACCCATTGGGGTGGGGGAGGGGAGGGAAGACTTACCATTGAAGCAGAGGAGAGGAGGGGAAAAAAAAAAAAACATTGAGAGAAGACTGGGTCAAAGATCATCTAACAGCAGCCAGCTGTTCTAGGAAGGAGCCCGCCTTTGCCCGGTAGGAGGCTCAAGTTTACCTAAGTGGTGGAGTTCTACACTGCATTCCTTCACAGACATGGTGCAGCCTGCAAGTCATAACTATGCCAGGATACTCAGCCAACACTGGACGTTTCCTACTTAGCAGATACCACAACTTCCCTTCACTTGGATTGGATTATGGAGATCAAGGAAGGGCACTCAAAAAGAGTATTGGCATTTTTATTTTTAATATAAAACCTTTATCCAAGAAAATCCTCATGTTACAATGTTAGGTGTTAAGTTTGTGTGCGTTATCCTCAGATTTCTAAATTTTAAGATTGTTAAATGCATCCTGGATGGACCCTAAACTCCCAAGTCCCATCCGGTGTTGAGCTCCTAGATGAGTATTAGCCTGGTTTCTTCTTGTGGCCTGGTGCCACATAATTAAAGGAAGATTTACTCATAGAGGTTTTCCACCAGGCTCTGAACTATCTTTGCAAACCTGTCTAATTCAAAACCAATTCTAAAATAATGGATAAAAACAAAGGAGATTGGCCCAAGTTGTTCAATAATTATTTGGAGATATGGTTATGGGTCTTGAACCATCATGGTCATGGCACGCTTGTGATCCTTGGACTCTTGTGGCTCTGGTAGTACCCTATTTATGTTTTCACCACTATTTTATTCTACTGTTGACATAGATAAATGTTATCTACAAAATGATCAACACAGTGAGTTCTTCAAGAATTTTGTCTTTCTAGAATCTAAACCAGGTATCTCCACAGTGGGGATTGAACCCAGGACAGTGTGCATGCAGGGTAAAAGCTATACCACTGAACCATCCTCTCAGCCTCCTTCTTCCCCCGATTTGAGGCCAGGTTCACTAAGCTGCTTCCTGCTGGGACTGAACTCATTCTGTATCCCAAGCAAGCCTGGGATTTGTAATCTTCCTTCTTTGGCTCCAGAGTAGCTGGGATGATAGCCCTGTGCAGCAGGCCCTGTTCAAGAAGTGTTTTGTTTGGCAGCAAGCTATTTGAAAGAATTCATCATCTTAAGGCTCTAAAGATGCTTTTATATGGATTGTGGAATGAATAAAATCATAGCTGGTGAGGGCTCAAAGCACAAACCAATGTGATACCGTGTGTATAAGGAAACCGGATTATGTAACATTTTCCAATCGTATTGCTTTAGTTTTTTTTTTTTAATTAAGACTCTTTCCTAACACATTTAAGGGATTAAAAGTGAATTGTTAACTATGATAAACTATTTGGCAATTTTTTAATCCTGGATTTCCCCACATTTCTGTTTATTATAGTGTAATAAAAACGGCCTTATAAAATACATTAAGATTAATAAAATGTAATTTGAGATTCCAAATAAATGAAAAAACAAAATTCATGCCAAAATATTAAGTTTTAAGATTAAGTATAAGTAATATTTGTCCCTGGAGGACTCAGAGGATTGGCAAGTGGACTGAAGGTCAGGGCTGCCCTCCCTTCCTTCTCTGTTGTGAGATGAGCCTGCAGATGCCAGTAACTCAGAAACACACAGCAGATCACATATAAGAGCCTTGTTGGACATTTTGAAAGCAAAAGGAACACCCCAAATGTGTAACAAAAATTTACAAAAGTACATATAATTTTCTCAATAAAAAAGAGAGAGAGAGAAACTTTACCACAATAAACACCAACTGGAAATCCTTGTGTTTCAGATAACTATCATGTGTTCATAGGAAATCATTCTGGTAACTGATAACAAAACAAAATTTCCCTATTCAAAGGATAATATATAAAACAACAGTCAATACTTTAATTGGCAGGGAACACAGATATGAGACTCAAATCTGCAACTTTCCATACTGGGTTTATGAATGTAAGAAAAATATATGTAAACAAAATATGGCACACACACACACACACACACACACACACACACACACACACACATATATATATAATAAATTGTCAATATACTGTTCTCTGAATTGTACAAATTATTAATTATTTGCCCTCCCCCAATTGCATCAATCTGAAATATTTGGATGCATAAAATCATCTTCAGAAGCCAGGGAGGGTACCAGAGAGGGCTCAGATCACTGTAGCATCCTGACCCGACTATGCATTGATGTCCATTAAAATGTAAAACTACTTATTCCATCCAAAGCACATAGACAAAACAATAAGCTAGTGATAACGTCATCTCACATGAATCCAATCATGCATCAAGAACTCCGTGTGACAAGTTTACCAGCACAATAGTTATGGAGAAGAGTTGAAAACTTTTGTGTGAGACAACAGTCTGAAGGGGAAATGAAGAAAGGAGGAAGGGATGACAGTGCGAGAGGATTTACCACAACAAAAGGCAAAGGGATTAATGAGTCAAGGCAGGGGAGCCTGAGTCATGACAAAAGCCACTCATTACTTAGGCAGCCAGGAGCAAATGTACTTTAACTTGATAAAACAGAGGAAACAAAAGTCATGTTAAGACACATGGCAGCATTTCTGTACAGAGTTGGAGGAAACACAAGATTCAGTGAAAGTATTTACATCGATGTCAAAACTGTAAAAAATTAGGACAACCAACAATAAAAATTAGCAAAGATAAAACTGGAGATGAAATAAAAACTAGAACCATGTGGAAAATATTTATAATTAGTAAATAGGGTCCACATTCAAATAAATTTGAGAAGCTATTTGAAGCTATAAAAGCATCACAATGGAGGTTTAAAGGCGAAGTGGCAGGGAGCGTGTAGAAACCTGTCATCCCAAAGATTTCACAATAAGGAACTCACTTGAATAATGAATGTATGATTCTATCCAATGCATAATTCAACAGAAACAAGAGATACACAAAAAATATGCATCATGTATCAGAGTAATAATTAAAATCATTTTTAAAATGAATAGTAAATAAGATTAATTACTAAGAAGCCGGTGAGATGCTTGCTGTAAAATAAACAAAATATAGCAGGGTGTACATCCTTGTACCATAGTATGTGCACCATTACTACATGCACTGTGATTATGTGCTATTATTCCATACGCCATGACATATGGGATATTATTACATGCTCTGTAACCATGTGCTGTTATCTCATGCCTTGTGGTATATGTACTGTTATTACATGCACCATGGCATATGTGCTATTATTATACGTTGCAGTATATAAGTTGTAATTATTTCAGTTCACAGTACATACAGTAAATTTCAAATTTGTGGAAGATTTTTTGGCACTGCAATGAATATAATATGTTTATACCCTTTCGCATGTTACTTAGCAATTCAAGAATTTCTGCTGTTTATATGGCTTTAAGTGATTTTTTTAACTCTGGCTATTGGGTAAAATGTTTTCATATGAGTAAAAAGTAGACAACAGCAAGGGTGTTTAAACTGTGTTGTTAACAAACAGGTATTGCCGCTGTTTCTCTCATGAAGCAATGAGGATTTTAGTAAACTCCCAACTCTGCAAAATACTAGGGAGTGGAGTCACTACAGAGTGATCACACGGAAATTATACTGCATACGGGAAGGTGGGCATTGAAGAGTCGTTGCTATCTCTATGTCGTGCACACCCTTGGGAACCGCTTCCTGACTGAGACCCAGGTGTACACGTCACTGTGGCAGGAGGAGCTCCTCTCCATGCACTCTTGTCCTCTGTCATCTCCCATAGAAGTCCTACTGTCCACACAACCTGTTTATTGGAGGACGAGACGCGCCATGCAACCTATTGCATTTGCTATAAAGCCACACAAACCGCTTGGTACACCATGGCAGTAGTTGCAGATGTGCACACCCCCAGCTCCTAATTGCTGTACCCCAGCCATACCTGCTTCCTCTGGTCCCTGGAAAGCGCGTTTGTTCCTGTGACTGACGCTGGAGTTGTGGGTTCGCGGAGCTATCGGTGCCAGGAGCTAGGAAGAGAGACACCCACCCGGTTATTGGACGTGCAGCCATGGAACAGCGCGCCTGGGGCTCCGTGACGGGCAGAGGAGAGGTGAACTCACGTTGGCTTCTGCGGTGGCCCCTGGAGCCCCTGGGGCGGCTGGTGCTCCTGCAACCCGGTAGCCCTGCAGCTCCATGCGCAGGCTCATCAGGTCAGCTTGCAGAGCAGCAAACCGGTACAAGGACATCACCGTGAGGCCGCAGGACAACAGAGCCAGCAGGAGAGTAGCAGCCAGAAGCCTTCCATCCCTGCAGACCCCAACCCAGGCACACGCCTTCTGCGGAGTGATGGAAACACACCCCACTTTCATTTCTTCTTCTTTCTCAGGGCAAGAAGAAAGGCACGGTGGATGGGTCTCTGCAGACTCATCCATTCCTTCGAAGGTCTGGGCCTTTGGAGTAAGTGACCACGGGGGTGGGTCATTTCCTGTCATCTGTGTCTTTAGAGGCTCCCCTAGGAGCGCTCTCCTGACTCTCTTCTACATCTTTCGCTATCCTGAAGTAGGTTCTCTGGCTCAGGCCTTCCATGGATTGCTCAATCTGCCTTCCTCATTTCACTTTCAGTTTTTGTAAGATTTTTCATGCCCCCTCAACACAGTCCTGCTCCGGGAGATGTGAGGCCTCCGACATGGCTGCAAGGGGGCGGGGTGGGGAAGCTTGGGGCCCAGACTGGCTCATTCCGGACAGAATTTTTAACACAAGAGTTTGCTGAAGGTGCTTTCCCTTCAGCATGCCTTTGAGAACTCGTCTACTTGGACCACATGGTTCTGAAGAAGGGGAAAGGGATACCGAAGGCCTGCTGGTGTAATAAAAGATAATTAATGTGCAAGTCAGATAAGCTCAGTGCTCGAGCACAGAACAGCACTTGGCTGCAGGGTAACAAATTTAACAGCTCCCTAGTGGAAGATGAAATGAAGTGCCATACAGCAGACTGAACTCCACCCGAACTTCTCAGCTCTCATCTAGACAGTGCAATAAGGAGAACACGCTACAGATCTATTTAAAAGTGGGGTGGATTTCAGGGAAGCATGGCTCCCTTTTTGCCTTCTGAGATAATGTTGGAGAGTCACCAGCCTCAGTCCCCGCCTGAACCGTGTCCAGGAATTGATGCACAATTTCCACGATGATATTACTAGAATGTCCTGAATCCATGGCTGGACTTGGTGGCATGCAGGCACTAAAAATTCATTTCAGTCTTTCCTGGTCTGGAAGGTTGGGTTAGGATCCAGTACCTCAATGTCAGTTCATCTTTCAGCATAGGCTACTGAGCACTTACTTAGTCTGCATAGTCCCCCTTTACCTAAACCTGACTGCTGAGTCTCATGCTACCTTCCCGTATAAACTTAGGAAGAAAGTCCCAGGAACAAAAACACACAGAGGCAAGGACTCCAGAGGTAGGCTTCCCTAGCACCAATTCCACTTCTACCTCTTGTCCTCCCTATGTCAATGACAGAACCTCTGTGTGGATCAATTTCTTCTTGTGTTACATAGAATGATGGGAGTGTGTGTCCCTGGGGCTGCTAAAATGTAGGAGGTAGCAAATGGTCACATTCACCATGCTTCCATTTTTTATTCATTCCTTTCAAAGCACAGACGGAGTGTTTTTGCTCTTATGGTCAGTTCTGAAAATGCTATTTTTGTATGTGTAACATCTGCATCTCTCCCCGCCCCCAACCAGGACACATCTTCCCTTATGCAAGGTATCAAAGGGTGTCCTCTGTTGAGTTGTCATTTGCTGTCACACTCTCAAGCAATGCTTTCTCATTGGAGTTGGTATCTTTTCTTCCTTTCTCTTCTGAGAGTTCTAAGGAACCTTTAAAGCAGTTGCTGCAATCTTTACCCTAAAATGATTTGCTCTCTACTCTCCCAAGTGGAAGTAAACCAGTGTGTGTTTGTGTGTGTGTGTGTGTGTGTGTTAGGTCTGGCATCAAACAATACTTGTGCTATCATGTCCTAGGTCACTGAGTAAGCATAAGGCATTATGGATAATGACCCCTGGTATAAAGTGGGAATTCTTTAAAGACCTTCACACTAAAAAAATTAAGACTCACTCTTGAGACTTATTGATAGGACAGGATTGCATGAGACAGGAGGACTGTGGGTTCGAGGTTAGCCTTGGCTCCATAGGAAAAACCCTGTTTCAAAATCATGCATATATCTCTAACATGTTCTAACATTACCTAATTACATACAGAAATTAAATGATACAAAGGAGTGCAAGAGGAAGAGATGGCACCTTTCTCCATGTTCTTCTGTATAACTATCCAGAGGCAATTAACTCACTGGGCTAAAGGTTGTCCTTTGTCTTCTTTGCTCTATTGGGCAAAGAACATCATAGTCAAGCTCCTCAAGAGAAAGCCCAGACCGATCTGAGTTCAGATAATTTTGGAATCAAAATCCAACATTGGCTCATGCAGTGGTGTCACTGTGTATCAATGGCTGCTGCTTCTTCCAACAAAGGTTACCAGGGAGGTGCTGGTGAGCAAGCACCATTGTTTCTACTACCTCCATGGAGATCACACAAAAACAGCTGTAAAGTTTGTTACATTTATAGCTATTGGATTTCTTAAGAGATGTGAAAGACACAGTTATCTCTCCACAACTTGAATGTCTGTTTGCTCAGAGGAAATGGTTTGGTGCTGATTTAATCAGAACTTCACTAAATAAAGAGTGCATTCTTATTTCTTGACTACCACAGAGCACTAGTGTATGTTTGCTTGACAGGTTATCTTCCATCCTTAGACAGTTTTTTATGTGTCTTACATATAAGGCATGTCTCTTTGGATAGTTAGGTCTTGTTCTAATGCAGTGAGTTGATATTCATCTTTTAATTGTTGTATTGAGAACATTTGCATTAGGTCATTGTTGAGAAGGGATTGCCATTTCCTGTGGGTTTGTTGGTAGTTCAGGATGGTGGGACTACTAAGGATTTCCTCCCCTCCTTTGAGTACTGGGGGTTTCCTGATTTGATGTGTTGGCCATGATGGGTCTCAGGTCTCCTTTGATTGTACATTGCTCTCATGAGTATGTTCTTTCCTGTGTTTTACTGAATGAGACTGTCTTTTTTCCTTCTCCCTGTATGGTATTCAGACAGATCTTTTCTGCAGCACTGGCTCCACTGCCGTGGGTTTTGATAAAAGGGACTGCGCTATAAAGAAGTGCAGGTTGAGTACTCAGCATTGAATAGGACTTGGGTTTCAATACCTTCTATCCAAACATCACACACATCAAGGCTTTAGGAACATCCTGAAAGGGGAAGAAAGCAGTAAAAACCAGAGGATTGGGAGGAGTGCTGTGAAATACTGTCTCCTGACCATGACACTCACAAATTCACAACACCTGTGGTTATCTGCTCAAGATCTACACAAGACCAAGCCAGCCAAAATTCTGGTATTGACTTGTTAGGTTTTCTCCAGGCTCCACCCCGTACTGAGGAGTTATTGGTTGTTTCTGCTAGAGGGAGAAACATTCTTTTGTTGCTTTGTGGCCACTGATCAGATTCTCATGCTCCAATGGATGACCTACTCTAATGTATTAAGCGCTACACCTGATTGCAACTATGCTTCTATTTTCTACCATCTGATTTTCACCAGAATCAATCATACTTAGTGCTACACTCTCCTGAATTTCTGAAACGGTGTGGCAAAGCAGGCTGCATTCCTTCACAGATAATACAACCATATCACCTTGGAATTCTGTTATAACAATATAAAGTTAAGAATGGCTTTGGAAACTGTCATTATCTACTGGGACCTGAATGTGTACCTCCAAAGCTTCCTGTGGACAATCTCTTACCAGTGTAACACTAGCAGAAGATAGACTTACAGAGACATGTGTTCTGACAGTGTGAAAGGAAATGGTGAACAGAATGACCCCAGTCAATCACACAGACATGTATACACTAGGACTGCCACAGAGGGGAAAGGAACAGGAAAATATTCAGAGAAATAATGGCTGTAAACTTACCAGTGAAGTGTGGGACTGGGGCCCTCTGGAGGCATGTGGGCCACAAGAACTCCACACTCATGAATGGATCCCTGCTGATTATAAATGGGCAGGAGACTGAATTTCCACTCTTGTTTTTGTTTTACATACCTTTGTCTTTTGACACAGGACAATGCCTCCAGAGCCCCACCCCCACCCCATAGGTAAAACATCTTGACATTGGATTCCTAGCTTCTAGAACCACAAGTCAAATGAGTTTCTTTTCTTTACAGACAACCAAGCTTCTGGCATTGTGTAATAACAAAACATCAAGTATTAGGACAGACATGAAAATATCCCTGGGTTATCTAAAAAAAATGAGGATCTAGTGGAGCTGAGTAACTAGGTTTTTTATAGCTTTACTTTTTTTTTCTTTTTTGTAATTTACTTTTTACATTCCAATCCCAGTTCCCCCCTCTTTCCTTCCTTCTCCCTCCCTCCATCCGCCCTCCTCTCATCTTCTCCACAGAGAGGGTAAGGCCTCTCATAGGAAGTCTACTAAGTCTGTCCCATCATCTATTTGAGGCAGGACCAAGGCACCTCTCCACCCCACACCCCTGTGTCTAGGCTTGGTATGGTATCTCTCCATATAGAATGGATTCCACTAAGTCAGTTTGTGCATTAGTGTTAGGTCTTGGACCCACTGCCGATGACCTCATATATTGTCCCAGTCACACCATTGTCACCTATATTAAGGGTTACATTAAGGGTTAAGTACAGCTGTACTTTGTACTAGTAATCTTTTCATATCCATTGTCTTGTGTTACTTCCATGGACAAGGTGACTATTTTCTGTGATCTCGTAATTCCAATGCAGCTTAGTTCACACCCATGTTCTCTGTTTCTGATTGTCTAATATTTTACATAAACACATTATTAGTCCCAAACTGAAACCACATGTGTATGTTCTCTTATCTGGCTTTTTGTATAACGGAAGGGAAGACAGGAGATGGCTGATGCATTTTACCAAGCTTTTTTTTTTTTTAAAGATTTTATTTAATTATTATGTATACAACATTCTGCTTCTATGTATATCTGCACACCAGAAGAGGGCTCCAGCTTTCATTACAGATGGTTGTAAGCCACCATGTGGTAGCTGGGAATTGAACTCAGGACCTCTGGAAGAGCAGCCGGTGCTCTTAACCTCTGAGCCATCTCTCCAGCCCCTTTACCAACCTTTCTAATTGTATAGTTCTTAATGCTGGGTTTGTACATGCATCAATCTGATGTGAATTTACTGTACATTATTTCCTGCAAATAACACCTGGCATTTCCTGAGAAGTGGGTCTAATAGCAATGTACTCGACTCTCATTTTAGGGATAATGTTCTCTTTCATTTCTGAGAGTTTTCCCAATTATACAGTTTCTCAACAGCACCTGTCTAGCACATGAGCCTTCAGTCCCCTCACCTTCTATCCACCATGGTTCCCAATGATCAGGGTGTTCTTGGTCTCATAATTAATTTGCTGCTTTCTCTTGGTGCTGTCTTAACACTTTCTCTCAGGGTTTTTACTAAATGTTTCTATGTGCTGGTCACTATGTGTTCATCCTGTTTGGGATTCTTTGATCTTAAATATGGATATTGATATTTTTCATCTAATTTCTTAAGTTTTCAGCCATTGCCTCTTTGGATATTTTTCTGCTACCACCTTTTCTCTGGCACTTCCATTGTGCTCAGATTGCCAACAGCTCTGAATCTCTATTCACTTTCTTCCTTTTTCTGTGCTCTTCAGATTGCATTGTCTCTACTAACTGATCTTTCTGAGATATTGTTAAAATGCGCAGTGGACATTTAGTTCAGTTCAGTTGTATATTGGAACTCTAGAATTCCTATCAGACTAATTAACAAATCCCTATCATTTTGTGATTTTTCTATTTGATGGGAAGCTGGGTTTTGTTTTCAATGGGAAGCTTTTTAAGAAAACAATGTCAATATTTATGCTGCTTGTGCTAACATGTCTGGCATGTGTTTTCAGTATTGCTGAGCAAGCCTCTTGTGGATCCACGAAGAAGTCAGTTTCTACAGCACAGTTAAAGCCTGCAACAGTGACTTTCATAATGGAAAGTGTGCTCACTAATGTCCTGAAACAATCCTGGGCTGATCTTTGTTCTCCTCTGTTTAGATGTGAGAAGTATGACAGACACAGTAAAGGGACCACAGATTGTCACCAGAGACCTAGCTCTCTCCACATGCTTGAGCTGAAGCAGGCTTTCTCCAACACACTTCATTCCTTCCGACTCAGCTAAAAGCACCCTCATGAGGACATTTCTACCAAGTCTCATCAAAGTAATCTCAACTTTCTATAGTATGACACTAAAATTTCCTTCCACCTCTTCTATGGTCCACTTCCAGAATTACACTTCCCTGGGACTAACCCCCTCCTTCTTTGTATCAGTCCACATGAATTCTCTGCTCAAGCTGTAGGGAGGTTAACAAAACCCTGCGAATATAACAGGATTCCATTTCTGTCAACTTGCTGGTGTCAGTGGGACCACACTCCATGCTGAGTCTACTTCTTACCTCTTCTGTCTTTTTTGGCTTGTGGTCTGGTCATTAGTATTCATTTCCACCTCTATATTATCCTATTTTCTGGTGTCTGCTGTCTCTCTCTGCTTCTTTTGGAACACCTTTAGATTCAGGGTTCACCCAGACAGTCCAGAATAATCCTTCCCAAGTCATACTTTTTAATCACATCTGCCATGACTCTGTCCTTACAAGTTAGATAGATATAAAATGCCAGGATTAGAGACATCTAGTTTTGGAGTCATTAATAACCCAACTAAAAAACCAAGGATCACCTATTAATTAAATGTATCATAATTTTTTTTTCTGTAAAAGACATTACTCAGATAATAAACTTGAAAGGAATCTGAAAATTAATTGGCAATAGTGCAATTTGTCTTTTCTTGATCTGAAAGGCTGTATTGAGAGAATTACTAAACATGTGCTGCTCACTGGTGACTGGTCACTAAGGACATCTTAGGTATGATGAAGAAGTTGCTTTTACTGTTTATTGTCTGCAGTGTCTCCCACAAGGGATCTTCTGTGGAAGGCTTGTTGAGAGGTGATGGATCATGAGGGTTTCAACCTTAAGAATGGGCAAACTGTTCAACTCAAGAGCAAGGACTAGTAGAGGAACATGCTTTTAGGGTCATTCTTGTCCCAGGAAACTTTAAAGCTCTTTGCCAGTGCTGTAAGGTGACCAACCATGGACAGAGACCTCTCAAACCAAAGTAAAAGTAAACTGTCATTCCTTAGAATGGTTTCTCTCCACTTTGTCAGAGACAAAATAATACATCGTGCTTTCCTCTTTTCTGTAAGTTCATGATTTTTTTTTTTTTAAGAAAGAAATGAAAGAACATAGTAAAAAGTTGTGTGGAGAATAAGAAGTGGAAGAGGACAGAACCTAAGGACTCCCCCCACACCCAGAAGACCTGAGGCCCAATGAGGAAGGGAAATCCACGAAGCCCCACACGGGCCAGCTCAGCTTCACATTCCAACATCTTGTTTCCTGGCTCTGGTTTTTCAGTAGAGCACACTTTGCTAACATCTGCTTCTTATGGTCCTGGTAGATTGGTTCTCAGGACTACTGGGTAGGTTTCCAGTCTCCCTTTTCAGTCTTAGTCACATGGTAAGAGGCAACAAGCTACCCAATGACCTATTTTCTCAAGTTTGAAGATACAAGAATACTAAACAAGGAAATGCATGGTAGTTACTATCCATCTTGTAGTCTAGTAATAATTGTTATGTAAACCCAGCACTAGTGATTTTTATTTAAAAGCATATTTATTTGAATGACTCTGCTTTAATAATTAGTATTTACTGGGCTGTGGTATTTATGATCACCTTAATACCTAGACTAGTTTTGACCTGCCTACTGTGGCATTCATGAGATTTGGGACAAGATGGTGACTCAAAGACCACTGAGAGCTCAAGAACTTTGTCCCTGAAGAAAATGTGCTTGGGAGAGTCACAGCACTTGCTATATATGATGGAATTTTCATTCATTGTTTGTGGAATCCCAGTTATATATATGAGGAAAGAGAATTGTTTCCAAATTCATAAAAATTTACTTAAATACTTGGTGTCTGTAACTCAAGATGCTAGTGACTAAGTCACAATATATTCAAACATTAAGCCATGGTAGACTGTTGGAATAGACACAAACTTCAATGGGAAGTCAGTTCTCACCTATCTCTAGGTCAGCTCAGTAAAAGCTCCAACTTTTTACTTTTATTCCATTTGGGCTGCTGGAATAGGATTCCACAGACCAGGAGGCCAAGGAAAGAACCACCTGGAAGCCTGGAAGTCCAAAACCAAGGCATCAGCACCAGCATCTTGTCTACTAAGGGTGCTCTTTTGGACTCCGAGACAGCAAGCTATCCTAAGTTTTCAGAAGGCATAGGACTAGCCAGCTCTCTCCTGTTTTCATTGCACACTCAACTCAGCTGCTGCCCTCCTCTATGACCTAATTACCTCCCACCTACCCTCTTCCTATTAGCACCTACTGGAAATTGATGTGTCAAAACATGGGAAAGCCCAAACGTGCAGGGTGTGACCATCCTGTCTTTGAAGAGTGCAAAGCCCTGTCCCCACCCTTGCTGGTGCAGTCTGTTGCCTGTTCTTATGCATTTTTATAATGCTATGGCCAAACTCAATTCAGGAAAAAGCCAGTGACATTCACTTGTATTTAAAGGTTAATGATGGTGGTAATTTTAAGAGACAGGTACAGTGGGGGTGCCAAAAATGAGACATAATGACTATCACTCAAAAAAAAAAAAAAAGTCCCTTCTCCTTCCCCTAGTGGGCCACTTCTGGCCTGCATATCAACATTATCTATTAGGCTTACAGTCCAGCCCAGCAGCTCTTTTCCTACTACAATCTTCCCTAAGTGTATCCTCCTTTCTGGTTCTATCACTAGCCTTATTGATGCTCACTGACCAGTGTCCATTCCCAAGCTCTGCTTTTTCCTTGGCACATTCCAATTTTGTCTTTTCCTCTACTTACCTTGAATTGGATCTTTCAGGACTCCCTGAAAATTTAATCACCAGTTACTTCCAACATTTCTAATGTAAGACATATGTATTTAACTTCTAGACTTTGTTAGTTGTGGCTCGAGGTTGAGACCTCTATGAAACAATTCTTTCAGTAATTGTTTCTCTATACTTCCTCTCCTGGGGTGGTGGGCTTAGTAACTTGTGAGGACAAGGTGTCCAGGATCCCAATAAGTGACATGCATTATAGTAACAATTCTGCTGAGCCTTGTTGTTGCAGGAGGAAAGGAATACCTGCATATGTAATAGAGACCTGAGTATAACCAGCATTAAGACAAAAGACTGAATGTGATGGATATTCAAGTAAAGGGAAACACCATGCTCTGGGCTCACACAAGCCTGAGTCAAAGTCTCAGAGGCACTTACAGAGACAAACACCAGGTTTGAGTCAATGGAGCAGAATGAATCCAATTCATAAATAAGGTGGTGAGATTTGACTCAGGTGTGTGAAGGATCTGACAAGACAGCAAAGGCCGCCTTCACTCCGAGATGCAGCCAATTAAACACCCATGGTGCTGGGGAAGGCAACCTTCAAAGTTAAAAAAGGGTTGGTAGATCTGTCAACTATAAGAATGACAAAACAGGGACTGAAGTGATGGCTAAGTGATTAAGAACACTTGTGGCTTATCTGGAGGACCCAGATTTGATGCCCAGCATCCACATGACAGCTCACCAACATCTAGTTCCAAGGGACCTGATGCTCTCCTCTAGCCTCAGAGGACACTGTACACACAAGGTCCCATAGGCACTTGTAGGTAATACACCCAAACATGTGAAATGGAAACACATTTTTAAAAATGACAGAACAGAGAGCAATATTGATAAGGTCTCAATTAATACTATCAGCTGACATATTTCAGCACTGGCATGGCAGCATTGTGGAGAGCAAGAAGCACCAAGTTAGTCTCCAATTTACTAGGATGTATTTTAGAACTTCCCAGCCAGTCCTCCAGCCTGGCAATTATAAGCGGTTTAGGAGAGCATGAGGTTTATTGAGTGTGCCGGTCCTTTGCATGATGACAAATGATGTAACTATTTAAAGTAAATATAGCCACACACTTCTAAATTCTAGTTCTTGGCAATTCCTTGGGAGTGATCATTTGTGAGTCCACTTTGTATTCCAACTCCAGAAATTCTAATCTACTCCAAGATGGATATCACTTTTCAAGCTCTTTCATTGAGGAAATCAGCAAATGTACTCTAGATTCAGACTGAGAGATTGGGGTGGGGGGTCTTCTGCCTGAGCACCCCAGGCCACTTTACTCACCTATTGCACAAGTTTATGATGAAGACTTGGTGACTTGGTGTCACAAACCCATTAACTCTCAGGCCTTGTTTCTAAGTGTTCAGATAGCATTTTCTCCATCCCTACCCCTTGGTAAACCAGTTCTATCAGATCAAACTTCATTACTATCTAGAATGTTGCAGGAAGTTAAGGAAGAGTTGAGTTAAACATGAGATGTTGAAAGCAACGATTCCAGGCTGGGGAACTTTGACAGCACACGAGTGCCTGCTTCCCATCACATCTTCTCACAGCAAGAGAGTCTGCAACAGTGATGGATCGTGACGCTTCTCTAGGACGCTTTAAGGCATGCCATGTGCTTCCAATCATCCATCTTGGAATGACAATACTCAACACAAAAGTGTCTTTTTTCTAGGGAAAGCAAGTTATAGACCCATAAAGACTAACTACAAGACCATTTTAATCAACTGGAGTCATCAACTAAAACACAAATGGGAGGAAAAAACCATGAAAACTTCGTAGAAAAGTATTTTATGAAATCTGAGACAAGGGCAAACAGTTCAACAACATCCATGAGACTGAAAAGATGTTTGGGGCTTAGGCACTCAACAATAGTTCATATGTAGAAAAGACTTCTGATATCAGCCTAAATTAAATGCACAAAGGACTACCGTCATATTCTCGGGAGAAGGAAATGCAAACATTTTCATCCACACCATTACAGTATGATTAAGTTCAGTGTAAGCCATAGTTTTATTGAACTATTAGATACCTTAATGTCCTACAATACATGAATAGAATTTTTAAAAAGACTGAATACAAACTATCTAACATTAACCAAATTGTTCATGTATCAATTTATTGCATGTCAGTACAGAAAAATAAAAAGTATACCTTAAAAGAGATGTAAAAAACAAAAAACCTCACAAATGTTTCCTTGCCATGGTTAGTGTACAGGTATGAGAACATTCAAATTTGAGCTACAAAATTTTATTACTATTTCAAAGAAAATATGGCAATAACAAAATTATGACTCAGATTATGAAACTGGACTAACTTACTTCATAGTGAATGTAACTAACCATGTGGAGGATGAATTTTCAGTATATGCTGTACTGACAGAAATTGTTATAAATTATGTTGCAATACACCCATTATATATGTATATATTGCACTTTATGTCAAAAAGTGTGGGTTATACAGTCCTATCTTAATCTACATTCTTAAAATACAAAATATAAATGGAGGTATATCTGTGCCATTGGCAAATGTTGACTGGCAATAGGAAGACTGACTGACTTTGCCACACAAGTGAGCAGTGTTTCTGATTAGGGGAGGTGAGGTGCATATGCAGTGAAAATACAAGTTTTCCATTTTCTAGTTAGCAAGCTAAAAAATAGACTCCTGTGCTGTGTAGATCCCAACTTTACCTGAGTCACACGAAAATACTTCAGTTTAAGTGAACTATACAAAAGGGTTACTTATGACTAATTTTTTTCCTTTCAGTCTTTTAAAATATGTAATTATCAAACATGAGAGGAAAAGGGTTTTGATCAACGGGCTCAAGTGATGTTAATGATGACCTAGAGCAGTGGTCCTCAACCTTCCTAATGCTGTGGCCCTTTAATACAGTTCCTCATGTTGTGCTGACCCTCAACCATAACGATATTTTTGCTGCTCCTGCTCTTTCAACAATTGTAATTTGCTACCGCTGTGAATCACAATGTAATTATTGGTGTTTTCTGATGGTCTTAGGCATGCCCTGTGAAAGGGTTGTTTGAGCCCCACTGGCCTAGATGGAAAAGTGACTTCTTTCAAGGGGTCACCTTACTAACTCCCGACGTTAAGGAGGGAAGACTCGCTAACATAAACCATTACTAAGCGCAGCTTCCCAGAGAGTTTATGTACTATCCAATCATCTCTACCAGACCTATTCCCACCCAAGCCAAATCCATCACAAGGGCAAGAGACAGCAGGTAAGAATCCTCAGCTACACACATGCCATTGCTCTGGTGATGTCAGCAGAAGCATGACCTGTCTCTGTGTCAAGTGTCTCCAGCCCACCTGTGACCAACCCATTTTACAGCAACATTTAATGGATGTGTCTCCATGGTCCAAACCCTATTTGCAAAACATTAGACACTTACACCAGATGCAGGGTCATGTTGTAGCCAGACTTTGATTTAAAATGGTGTTCTGCCATTTTCTGCTCCTTCACCTTATCAATTAAGTATTTCTGACTCCCAATTTAGGAACAGAGTCACCAACTGCTGTCAGTGGTTTCTAGCTTATTGATTGCCTTCAGTCTGTAACAAATATTTTCTTCCCAGGGTATGCAGTATTTTCTGTAGGATCTTTTAAGGAAAAAAAAATCTGTTTTCCTCTATTATTCTCTAAAATACAGAACTTTAGACTTTTTTCTAAGTAAGTTGGTCTTGTCATGTTTAGGGTAATTCTTGTATTTACAAATTCATAGTGCTGAATAACTTAATTATTTATCCATTTCTCCTAAGCCGGGTGGTGATGGCACATGCTTTTAATCCCAGCACTCGGGAAGCAGAGGCAGGCAGATCTCTGTGAATTTGAGACCAGCCTGGTCTACAAGAGCTAGTTCCTGGACAGCCTCCAAAGCCACAGAGAAACCTTGTCTCGAAAAACCGGGGGAAAAAAAAAAGATTGTTTATCCATTTCTCTCAGTGTTATTGAACAATGAGCTAGAAATTGACAGACCATAAGCATTCCTACCTATGATGAGGTCAAAGTGAAGGAGTGACTCAGGCAGAATTTAGGTTTCACTGAGAACAAGCGAGAAAGTTTGTAGAAATGATGACCAGGGTCTGTCACGGTCCCTGAAAATACCCCTACCCATCTAAAGAAATCACATCAAACACAAGGCCGGTCACAAGAGATGCCCTATAACCCTAAACATAGCTGCCTTTGCTGCAGAATAAAGGTTCCGCTAAGAGACAAAGGTGGTGGTGCAGTAGAGTGTTCTTCTACCCCTCAAGTCCCAGCCAGCAGAAGCTGAACAGAAAGAACAGCAAAGAAAACATCAAGGAAGGGGCAGCTGTCCTATTTCATTAGGAGAATATCCACAACTCAAGCTGGGAAACTCCGACAGATCCAGTGACTGATGGAAGCAGAACACGAATACAGTACTCTGTACAGGTAAAACCTGATCAAGTGTGCATGACAGCTCATTTCTGAAGAAACAGCATTCTGGCTGTTGTTACTTTTTGTCCCTTCAGTGGGTCAGTATTCAGGGTAGTCGTTCTACATAGCAAAGACTCACAAGATGAAAAGCAGCCTTTAATTGTGTGGTGAATTTACACATACAAAATACACCCTCCATGACGAGTTACCAACTCTTTAAAAAACAGGACTCATTACAATTAATAATCTATAGAAAAGCATTATTCTTTAGAAATTATACTTGCTATACATTATTGTTTTCTAAACATTGGCATAAAATGAAGGCTAGGAATGCTACTTGGCAAAAGTATTTCTAGCCCTATGTTCATGGAAAGTTTTAAATTAAGGTCAAGATAATTGACTCCTTATTACTCTGCTCTAGCTGCTTGTGGAAGGTCAATAAACAGAGCTAAGTTATCTGCAGCCGTGTGTGTTGGGGCTGACCTAATGTGCAGGGCTCAAGCACATCTACCTAGTGAGGACTGTGGGAAAGGACTTGGCAGGTTCCACACCTCATGGCTGGAATGTTACCAAATGTTTTCAGGTGTCAGAGGCTCACTTTGTCAAGCACAGCTTCCCACCCACAACTCCTTTAATTGCTACATGTGTTAACAGGTTGGCAAAAGCTTTGGAATCCTTCAGTTCCACCTGTAAAAACTGACAAACTTCCTAGGACTATCACATTACATAGCCCCATTACACAGAACTGAAATATTAAGCCTTACTTGGTTATTTGTTTGTTGTTGTTGTTTTGTTTTGCTTTTCTTTCATTATGTAATTTACTTGCAAAAAGTTCACTAAATGATGCTTGCCTTTGTCAGGTCAGGCACATCCTAGGTACTGGGACTTCAATCAGATGAACACTGCATAAGGCTGTGTGCACACGTGTTGAGATAGCCTAACTCAACTATAGGCTAGTTCCAGCCCTTCCTGTGGCTGTTCATTTTTAGCTGGAGATTCACAAACTGACAGAGGCTAAAATTCTGTTTGCAACCAAAACCACAAATATTAAAAATTCAATATGTAAAGACAGCTGCAGTAAAATGCTAACTTCCTATCCCACTAGCCATGATCCAGACAGTACCTAACAGAAACACAGTACATCTACATTGGAAAATGGTCCTGTTTATTATTAGGAAAAACCCGGATCTCAGCAGCAGAGCATGGAATCTGCTCACAGGCCTCACGCTCATTCCTCACCAGAAACAAAATAGAGTTTACATAAAAATAGATATAACCCAGGGAACCATATACATTGGCATGTGACCAGTGTTATTTACATTTAAAATATCGCATTGCATAAGTCAAGAATGAAACACCACCATGCACTTCATCTTAATGTGTAAGGTGAAAACGCAGTAGCACTAGGCTTGCTTACTGTGATTGTCCCAATGTTTGCTGAAGGACTGACACCTGCAGGTTTCTTGTTTGTGTCTACATCCTATTACAACACAGATTTTACCACTTAACCAACAAGAGACTTTTGGAAGAGCTCCATCACACCGCCATCTTAAACTAAAGTTAAGGGTATGTAACCAGGCTGGAAGTTCTGGTGGGAATATGAAATAATCTCAAGAAGCCCAGTTCTGAAAATACAGAAAGTTGTAAGACCATCAGAATGGAGTGCTGAGGCCCTTCAAAGCTCTGAGTCACTGTACAGACCAGCATGAACACACACCCAGAAAGGACATCATCATTCTACACAAACTGAAACCCAAGGCATCCATCAAGAGGGTGGCATCAGATAATAGTGACATTGGATGACGTTTTTGTCATGTCTTCAGGAGAATGACTCTTGATCACTTCCTTGATGAACTGTTCGAGTGCAGTGAAGTAGCCTTGGCACTGCCATGTGTCATTGTGGGTCCCGTCTGGGAAAATGGCTAATCTCTTAGTCCGGGATGGGGAAAGCTCGTAGAGCTGCTTCATCATCACAGGTGGAATCAACTGGTCAGAGAGGCCAGAGATGAAGAGAGAAGGCATCCTGCACTGCGAGATCTTTCTGTAGGACAGAAACTTATTTTTATAGCACCATAAAGGAAGGTAACGCATTGGGAAGAAGGAAAATAGTGTGCTGGCCATGTGTGGTATGCTTAGGAACGTGTTCTCCACCATGATGGCTGAAATCCTGTGAGAATTCTCAGAGGCCAAGTGAATGGCCACTGCTCCTCCCAGGGAGCGGCCAAAAAGGAAAACTTTTGTTTTATCGAGGTCGGGTCTAGTCATCACATAGTCTAGCACAGCTTCAGAATCCAGATACAGTCCTTCTTCACTGGCTTCTCCTTCACTTTTCCCATACCCCCGATAGTCAACAAGCACAAGATTCACCTTGAGGTTCACCAGCATAAGCAGCGCATTTGGTAACCTGTGGCCTATGTTGCCTGCATTCCCATGAAAATAAATTATAGTTGGGGAATATGGGGAATTGTCTCCAGTGTATCTTACCAAGATAAGATTCAGGCGCACTCCATCTTTGGTTCTGATGAAAATGTTTTCATGTGGAATGCCCGTGGGCATGGGAACATAAAGGCGGGAAGAGGATGGCTGTTCTGGAAAGTAGAGTAAGACATCCTGGAATTTATACAAGATTCCTGCAATCGACACGAATATTAACAGAAGTAAGATAATGCCTCCATACAGATGGAAAGTCACTATCAAGGGTAAAAGAGAGATGCGGCAGAGAGCCCAAGACCAGGACGCCAAGGCTAGTAGCCATCTTTCAATAAAGCTCCACAGCATCCAGGATTTTTCCATGGTAGCTCCACGTAGATATCCTAGGAGACACAGAGAGAACCAGTGACTCTTTAAAGGTAAACCCATCATGAAATGCACCCAGTACTCTATAGAAACTATGTCACTCTGCCCATGAAAATGGCCATTACAATTCCTTCTTACCCTCATACCACATCTTTCCAATCTGTAGTCACAGAACACATTCATCAAACCCATATATGGTGGAAAGGCACTTATCTGTTTCCCAGTACTTCATTCATGTATTCTCAGTGATTTGATAAAAATAAAAATAATAATAATAAAAAAACCACCAAAATTTGAACACCACTCCCATTTTTACACATGAGTAGATGGAAGCTTGGATCTGGCTGCTGTCCTAGCTCTACAATAAGTCAGGAGGCAGCATGCTTCCTGGAGCCCCTCCTACCCTCAGTTCTTTCAACCCTTATATATTGGTCAAGTCAGTTATTTCATAAATGAGTTTTTACTATTGCTTCATATGTCTCCATACTCAGCTCTTTTCTTTAAAGATTCTATATATAGATAACCTTGAATTTCTGATCATCCTGCCTCCACATCTCCAGTGCTAGGACTAGAGGCTTACACCATTATGGTTCAGTTTTATAAGGTACTGGGAGCTAAACTTGGGCTACAGCACACTGGGCAATTGAACTCCTCCACCCTTTCAGTCTTCTTGCTTGATTTTTATTCAAATGAATCATTTTGAACATAAACAATAACATAATCTCTTTTCCCCCGTCTGATTCCTAGAAATAAACAATGTCATCCAATTGTAGCAAGCTTTGTTACAGGAAAAGAAGCACTGAAGGTCAAATAAAAGCACAACTTAAAGAAAAAAACGCCCAAGCACTACAGGTATTAAATCTGGCTAAAGCTGAACCGTAGCGTGCAGTGAAAAAGACACTCAATACACCACTCCAGTCATGGCTTGTTCATCTTATGCTCTCCCTGTCACCTGTCAATTCTGCTCACAGGGCTGGTTTATTCCTTTGCAGCAGTAAACTGATGGTACACAGTTAACTTACCATATAAAGCTTAGATGTATTTTTGAGTTGTATTAAGGAAAATTGAAAGTAAACTGGCTCCAATTTGACATAAAATATAAAAGAATGTGGAGGCAGCATATATAGGTCAATGAGAGAATGTCTGCCAGCGCATGTAAAAAGCCTGGGATTTAACCAGGCGTTGGTGGCACATGCCTTTAGTCCCAGCACTTGGGAGGCAGAGGCAAGCAGATCTCTGTGAGTTTGAGACCAGCCTGGTTTACAAGAGCTAGTTCCAGGACAGCCTCCAAAGCCACAGAGAAACCCTGTCTCGAAAAAAAAAAGGGGGGAAAAAAAAAAAAAAAAAAGCCTGGGATTTGATCCCCAACTCTGCAAAGTTATAGGAACAATAACGGTAACAATGATTTTAATTATGAACCAAAAACTGATTTAAAAGGCCTGCATACGCATGCACATTAGAATATTGCAAAATGTAGTAAGATACCATTTAAGATTTCATTTAAGAAATAAGCCAAAATCCTTATCATTCTTTCTCATTGTCCACCTAGTTATCTGACAAAGGTGTTAATGAGTAGCCAACAAAAAAGACTCACGGCTCATATTAGTGACCCACTTGGCAAAAGCACACTGAAACCCTACTGCCTTTAAGCCTCTCTCATACTTCCAATCTGTCATCTAATCCCACTCTAACTCAGGAAAAAGCAAGATGAAACCCCACCAGAAACATGCGACTATGGAAAATGTGACTGCAACTGGATAATTAGCAATGAGGTGACTAAGTTTTCAAATCAAAATTCTTATTAAAAAAGAGACTTGTAAGGGGAACTAGAAAGCACAACATACACCCATATTTATGTCTGCTTAAGCTACTCTACAGTTGCAATCCTCAGCTACTACAGCCCTGAGTCTCTTTTCTTGTCTAAAAGTACTGTATCCCTCTTGACTATGCACTCAAGACCAAAATGTCTAAGAACGTTACCCACTTGTTAAAACAGGTGTATTCTGAGCAGTGGGTACTTGGGCCATTTGTCTGGGTATATAACTGATTAGCAGTAAGTAATAAACCTAGAAGTTTCCAAAACACTTCCTCAAAGTCACCTTAAAGGATAACATAATTTTGACAAACAAAAATATGATAAACATAATTTATAATGGATGGTTACATCGCAGCTCACAAGTAATTATGAACTCATTTTGAAGAATACCAATTGAACCTGAGCTTTTAGAACAGATTAATAAAATAAATATGTATGACTGTTTCCTTCATACTGACAGACTATGGTCCAGAATAACACCACACAGTCCAGCCTGTTGACACCACCATCCACCTCAAGGATACCCTTAGAGGACCTCCAACATGTGAATGTCATTTTAAGGACTTTTAATCTGCTAAATTTGGAGAGCAGTCAGCCAACCAGTCACCCTGAGTTATCCACTGAGATGCACTATCAACTACATAGTGTCCAGATGTTCTGACAATGAAAAAGCCAGCTGCACAGAGCTATAGCAGCACTGGATGAGTGCTCTCTATGTCTAGCTTGCTAATCAGATAAAGGGTTAACAAGAGCTCCTCCTTTAGCATGTAAAAAGCAACCAGCATTTAACCATCAGGTCTACTTCTCTAGACACCCAAGAATGGCAGGCTACTGACTGAGCGTCTTTGTAGCACTGTGAGCTCCTTCGTGGTTAGAACAGTAAAGGGCTACAGGCAAGTTTAAGCGAGAGCTTCTCTGATCTGGATGCCATATGGAATACTGTGTCCTCTGCTGGGTGTTGGAGCCTACGCCCATGGACTGTTAACAAGACAGTGTTTAGTGAGACACAGAGAACAGCTGCACTGTGTGGGACCTACTCCTCCTCTTGTGCCATCTTCCCACCATACCTGAGCTACCAATGGGAAAGATATACTTGATGTCAACATGGCTTACTAGAAGTCACCACTGAATTATGCAGAGCTTGACTGGTGCCTTGTGTAGTACTTAAGTCTTTCAAGTCTGAAATGCCCAGCTAACTCCAAGACTTGATCATGTAACATGACTGAGGTAATCAGCTGTACCTCAAAGCATATGCCACATGGCAAAATATTTATGAGCTATCACAAGAAAAGATTATTTGTCAAATGATTTTGCATGCTGCAATGCATTTTACACTGACACCTTAGCACCACAATCAGAACTAATGGGTTTACTAAAGGGTGAGATTTCACCAACAGATTGATGGTGCAGTAAGAAGTGGACGACCTGTTTGTGAAGAACAGAGATTCACTAAGCATCAACCTCCTCCATACCATTCTTCTATGTCATTTGCTGGGTAGTTTTAGTCTGTGTCCAAAGGAATACCTGGTTTCATGTTTCTCAATTCTGTCCTTGCCATGTTATCAGACATGACCTGATAATATCACACAAATGTTTCTGAAAACCATCATTATGTGGACTTACCCACTGCCAGGAATCTCTTAACATGAGAAAAACCTCACTGGCCACCATATCCAGCTGACTGAAGTGGCAACCACTGGCAACAACTCCAACATCCACTATACTCAGACCCTCTCCTCTCCAGTGGACCATTCTTCAGGCTGCAGGCTGTCTAATGTTTGCTCACTGCCGGGACAGTCTGGATGTGGCCATCCCCAATATCCCTTGGAAGACATGGAGCTTCAGGAAATGGGGTGTGCTAGGAGAAAGTCAGGACAATGTGCAGGGCAGTTTTCTGTCAATCATACCCTGTAGACTGCCTTGTATACACACAAAGCAAGGAGCACAGTGAGCTCTGTAAATATGAGCCACAAGGTGTCTCTGCATTTTAACACTAATTTTCTCAGGTACGGTATTACAGGAATGGAAGCAAGCACTTTGTCCTCCTAGCAGTTTCATTGTCAACACTCTCCACACACTCTAGTATGAATTAGTACCATAAGCATATCACAATTCTTTACCTACAGTTCCCATCTCTCTGTTCTCCAATACCTAATGCCTCATTAACAGCTCAAACTTACCCAAGCTAAACACATGTTCCCCCTCACTTAGTGTATCATGTTAACTATAGTCAAAAAGTATGGCATGCTAGAATTTATGCATTACATCATCAATGCCGCCAACCACGGATGACAGAATCAAAGGGTATAAGCCCTGCTACAATATGCATCACTTATCTATGAACAAGAAAACACCGATTACAGGAACAGCATGCTCTAGGGTATCACATTGCTGTCAGTAGCACTTCTCAGGAATCTTGTTTTCCTGTAAGAGAACTGTTCCCGAGACACTAATGTGAAGTATAGGCTATGTCTTACACTGCATCAGACTTTCAATCAAGATGATTATAAGTTATCACAGGAGTCACTTGGTGACCTCCTACATAAGAATCACTTCTCTTCAACATCTCTAATGCTCTGATGCTGCTGGCCTTTAAGTCCATGGCGAATACACTCAGCTATGATTTAAATGTGCAGTGTTCCCATGGCCTCATAGGTTTCAGTGCTTCCTCCCCCAGCTTGTGGCACTGTTTTAGGAGACTGTGGAAACTCCCGAGGCCTGGGGCTTGCCTGGAAGACCTAGGTCTACTAGGTGTGGGCCCAGAGAATTACAGCCCAGCTCTACTTCTGGCCCAAGAAGCTCTCTGCTCTCTGGTGAGTGCCATGAAAGAAGGTGCTGTAGCCTGCTCTGCCATCTGGGCTTAGCCACCACCATGCAGTTTCTGTCCCTCCTTTAAGGTGCTTCAGCAGGGTACAGGGAAGGCTGACTCCTTTGTAATACCAACCAAGATCAGATTGAAGTGAAAAACTACTTAACACACTAAGCATGCTGGCTGGCCATTCTCATGTGACCTCCTCAGCCCTGAGCTCCCTTATATGTTATTGAAAGATACAAATGGCTTCATTGCTAAGAAAACACCTTAGGGGCTGGAGACATGGCTTGGTGGTTAAGTGTCCTTACTGGTCATTCAATTCCCAGACCCACCAGGCAGCTCCCAACCACCTGAAACTCTATCCTAGGAGATCCCATGCCCTCTTCTGGCCTCTGAAGGTTCTTGCACACACAAAATAAAGTATCTCACACAGGCTCACACACATACACATAAAATAAGAAACACAACATTTAACTATCCTATAAACTGGTGCTTTAAAAAACAGTGTTGAGTATCAGTTACACCTACCCCTTAGGATATAGCTGTAGGCCCCTGGGGTGCCATCAAACCCATGTGAACCACTGGCAATTACTACAGATGGCTTACTAGCCTTGTCTCTAAACAGATTATTAGGTTCTAACACATCTACCGTGTTATATCACTTAAAGATCGAGGACAATGTCACAGATAAGGACACCACTCTGAACCCTGTCACTTAAATTTTGTATTTTTGGACACGATCAAAATGCCAGTTTTTGCTATTGTATGGCTCATGATCTGCTGAGTACATCTTAAGCAACTTTTGAGCTGCTTGAATGGCAGACACACACTCATGACTGTACCTGCCTCAAACAAGTTCATGCAGTTACAGAGGAGACTAAGGAAATCAAAGATCACAGTCATTTGTATCACAGCAAAGCAAACTTCAACCTACACTGCCTGCCATCACCAAAGAAATCAAGGGAAAACTTGAGCAAATCCTTTAAAAGCAGGACAAAGCATAATTGCAGAGCTAGGATTCTTTCCATTCCATTAAGCAGCTGTCTGTGCCACTTATTTTTAATCACTTAGCACAATTATTCATAGAAACACAAAGGATTCAAAATCTAAATACATACTTGGCAAGGACAGCAGAGAGGAAATTAGAGCAGTTAGGTTCTGTGAACTCTGAGGCCCCAGCTGAAATGGGTGGTTTTATGCCTCAAGTTCTTGAAAGATGGCACAGACTTCTGGATCTGCTCAAGACCCTATGAAGGGTCCACAGGTTCAGCACTGTCTTCATTGCAACACCATGGTGCTGTGTAACTTTTCCGTGTCTGATATCTGTTGTGCATATGCAATTATGGATGACACTTGTGCCCAAGCAAGTGTCTATGTGCAGAGCTAACAGGCAAGACCCTTCTCCCACCCCAGCCATGAGCTCAGTGAAGAAGGGGAAAAGCCAGATCCATGCGGTAGTACTGACGCAGTAAAAACTGCCAACTGTCTGCTGACACCTTTAAAGCTTCCATGCATGTGTGGTATCAGGGATGCTCATGAAGCTCTTGTGCTATGCCTGAACACACACCTGAAATGCACTACACTGGCTGCCTTTTCCACAGGGACGCATTTTTACTTTAATAAGCAACTGACAAACTACAGTCATTACATTTAGCAGATCTATGTGTTTACAAGACTCAAATTTCTAATACTTGAAGACTTTGACAACTCTGTGGTGGTGCTGGTGATGCCAGAAAGTGTGATTTCTGGCAACTGATTGGTTAGATGTGTTACCATTTGCAAGAAAATGCAGAATTCAGCTAACATACTCTAAATGGCCACAAATTACACCAGGAGTTTTAAGTTCACAGGAGTGCAACATGACACATATCCAGTGGGTTCCACTGCATGAGCATCGACTTCTTTGACACAGGTTTCTAACACCACAATCTAAGTGACTTTTAAGTAATTACCTCCTCAATGTGCTGTGGCAGCAGAGAACACCTTGCTCCTCCACCTACAGCCACAGCAGTGTGTGGGTCTACGTGTGCATGCTTTACCTAGGAAAGCACAGAAGCAGAAGCCTCGGCAAGCAGACATCAAAGTGATGTTAAAAATGTTAAACAATGTCATAGCCCTATTTTTGTAATTTATAGGAGGTGGACAAGAAATGCTGCTTGTTATTTTGTCACAGATTTATTACTAATTCACAAACTCTCACTTTTAACTTCTGACACAAAATATCTATATAACTCAAATTTCTTTGAGTCCTCAATAATTACTCAAAATATAAAGACATCCTGAAGGCTGGAGAATGGCTCAGTGGTTAAGAGCAAACACTATTCTTGCAGAGGACCTGAGTTCAGCTGGACAGCTCTCTCCACAGCTCTAGGAGACAGATCCCATGCCCTCCTCTGAACTATGAGGGCACCAGCATTCAGGTGTACATGCAAACACACACATACTCACACACCCAGGAAGGAGGGAGAGAGAGAGAGGGGGAGAGAGGGAGGGAGGGAGGGAGGAAGGGAGAGAGAGAGAGAGAGAGAGAGAGAGGAGAGACAGGGAGAGAGAGGGAGGGAGGGAGAGACAGAGGGAGAGAGAGGCAGAGAGAAAGGGAGGGAGGGAGGGAGGGAGGGACGGAGGAAGGGAAACCAGAGCTTGAGAACTTTCACACTCTTTAATATAAGTATTTCTACTCCCTTCCACCATAACCTTGAGTCCTGCAAAACTAAGAACAGCATTCTATTTAAATCCTTTGTGCAACATATGACCTGAGGTTCTTATCCTATAACATTTCACCTGGAAGAGGAACCAATATATGAATAACTGAAACTCAGCTAAAGTATTTTAATTATCAGTGTGGTAATAAACTAGACACTAAATTGGTCAGATCAATTTATCACAGAGAAATCTATATTTTAATAAAGGTCAAAACTATCCCACAGATAAAATACTCTCTGCTTATTCTTCGAAAACTACCTCTGTCAATCACAATGTCTAGCTGGCTGAAAACTGTCAAAGCAGTGAGCAGAGGTCCCTACTGATAACCATGTCACAAGGGGACAACTTCGAGGTGCTCATCAATAACTCCGGGGGAATTCACAGATTCCAATCTCATCTCAAGAAGCACAGAACTACATTCTCACACCAACTTCTCTCTTCTGCAGCTAAGCACTGGTGTGTTCTGATACTTTGCCAGCTGCACAGCTGAGACACAAACACAAATAGCTGCCCTCGGCGTGCTGAAGACGCCACAGAAAGGGCTATCCATTTCCCTGATGGTTACCCACATGCCATCAATAATGAGTAAGTGTGTTTTAATAGTCCTCAGGGACAGATGAGCAGATCTGCCTATTTGTAGGGACTCTGGAAGAGCTTTGGGGTCCAGAGAGTATTAGAACCTGAAGTAGACACTTCCAAATCACACCAGGTCGGAACTGAGTATCATCTGTGCTTTCCCCCTTGAAAGTCTGAAGAATGAGCAAATGCAGTCATCTTAGCAAAAAACTTGGATGGTAGATTACTGTCACCATGGAAGCCAATAACAATTTGTTCTGAGAATTTATCTACATGTAAGACAACGGTAAACAACAGAAAGAAACTTTCAAGTCTAAAAACCTAAATACTGGTGGCAGACTGTAGAGTGATAAGCTATTGTAAACAGGCCAAATTTTAGATACAGAGTTGAAATTTACTCTCTTATATGAATCAGACTTCACAGAAGCATCTGGGTTCCCCAGGGCCACTCTAGATGTAGGCTGTTTTTGCTGTGGAAAACCAGCACCCCTGGCAAGCAAACTTAGCAGAATTCATTGCTTTGGGACCTAAGACTCATGAGACTTGGTGACATAAAATGTAATAAGGTGTTAGGAAGCTTGCCACTCGCCAAACATCTTAATTACAATAACTGGGGCTTGTCCTAGATCTATTTTAAAGTGAGTGGTTAAGGGCCTCCGGTTTCCCTGAGGCAGACCAACAATCATTAGAAAGATACCACAACTGCAGAGGATGAGGTAACAAGAGATTGACAGCCCAGTGCCTGAGTTTCTGTACTATGTCCCTCAGTTGGTCTAGGAGAGTCTGACCAGCAACTCTCTCATTCAGAAGACAAGCTGCCTAAGGTGTTCTGGGGAAAGGCAGCCAGCCAAGCTCTACATGTAGCTCCAAGCATAGAAGCAGTCTGCCTTCAACCAGCTTGGTCTTTTTTGACTATGCAGGGTGAAGCATTTGTTTGAAATATGGCTGTGATGTGGTGATAAAACACTCCCACTTCAGAGACAAAGTTCACACACTTTATTACCTATGGTCTCAGTAAGCATGTCGAATCCCAGCTAAATCACAGCAATGACTCACTAGTGGTTACTATGTTTGCATGTAGTAAAGTTATTAGGGTAAGGCTTCATTTTCCGGTTGAAACCCACCCAGGTCAGTCTACAGATCCTCCAGAAAGTCTCCCTTGAGCCTTCCTTCCTACTGCCACCAGCAGATCCACTCTGTAGTCTGTGACAACTTCTGGGGTGGTATTCACCTGTATGGTGATCATCCTGCTTATACAGGCTGAAAGTTATTTGATGGCAGTGACCTTACGTTACTCCACTTCACACTTCCCATGTACAGCAGGCAAGGCCCAAGGTGTAGGGCAAGTGCAACTCAATCAGAGCTCAACTGGGTGGGTGATGTCTCAGGCAGTACAGTTACGACACAACTCTACACGGACCATCATCAATTTTCAGTGAGACAAAACAGTGCTTCAGAAAAGAACACGTCTAAGCGCGCACACACCTAAGTACTAATTCATGACAGAAGATGGGATGGATCTACAAAAAAACAAACAAACCCAAACGTCAAGCTTAAAGCTAGTGGGCCCCTCGGTTACTGCTGCCTAGTAAGCAAGTGAAAAAAATAAATAAGTAAAAAAGAGCTGAATGGGGTTTATTGTCGGTTGACAGCTAGCCGAGTACACTCCCTGATGCATTCTGGCTTCGCATCAATGGTGGCAAAAGTCTAGCCCCGGCCAAGTGACTTCAGGTGTGCGAAAACTCTTGGTTTTTAAGGCCCCGATGGCTTGCAGCCGTGCTGTTCGCAGGTCTGCACCTGTTACCGACCCAAGCCCGGGGTTTGCTGACCAACTGCTCCGGGCGGGCGGGGGAATGGAAAGGAGGGGACG